GTGTACTCCCGGAAGTCAGCAGGGCTGGTCTAATGAGGTGCGTGCCTGCGCTGTGAACCTGTGCAGGGCGGCAGGAATTACCATAATTGATTATCCCGCTGCGCAGCTGAGAGCCTTGTTTGCTGACAGAGAAACGGGAATCGGCTTGTGGGTCCCCGCCCGGGCAGCTGCTCCAGGGGTGGCCTGGCAGGGGTTGGGGGGCGGTGAACCCTAGACTCCTCTCTCTTGGGTATGTTGGCCGGGCAGCCAGGTGAGCGTGGAGGAGAGACAGAAAATACTGGGGGCATGGGAGGACTAAGGGAGGGGCCACCATTTATCACTAAGACCCAGAGTGAGCTCCAGCCCAGGTGTGGTGCCCTCACCCCAATCACAAGCCACAAGCTTGGCTGACAACCTGCTCGCTCCCTGCTGGGCGCTGCAGCCAGGAACTATAGGGTGAGGAGTTTCCACTGGGCTCTGAGGAAATCGGGGGCTTGGGCATAGAGTGGGAGAGTAGAGGGTACCATAAGGACACCCCACCACCATCTAATGGATTTCTGGCTGTGAGTCTTCATGGGAGCAGACAGCCTCATTGTTCTCCCATGGAAGGGCTGGGGGGGGGGGGGGGGGGGGGGGGTTGAACCGCCAACCTCACAGTTAGCAGCCCAGCACCTAAAGAGAACGAAGGCAGGGCCTACCTGGATGGGGTGAGAGGAAGCGCTGAGAAAGAGGCAGGTCTGCACCTCAAATCAAGGAACCCCAGATCTGGTGCAGCCTTCCTCGCCCCACCCCCTGCCTGCCCAAAGTGGAGACACACCCCCCCCACCCTTGCAGCTGACTGGGGTGCCTCTAGTTCTCCGACCCTCAGACCTCTGCCCTCACCTGCACCACCACCCCCAGGGCTGCAGGGGCTCTGATGCGCTGATTGGGATGCAGTGAAGTTGGACGTGGAGAGAGAGCTCAGCTGAAGAAAGGAAATAGAAACACACGCCCCATCGAGGCCATTCTGGCTCACAGTGACCTGGAGGACAGGGTCGAGCCGGCCCCGTGGGTTTCCGAGACTGTCACTCTGTGCGGGAGTAGAAAGCCTCGTCCTTGTCCTGAGGAGCACATGGTGGTTTTGAACTGCTGACCTTGCTGTTAGCAGGCCAACAGGTAACCACGATGCCCCCGGGGATCCTGTAGAGATACATCGTATTTCTAAATTAGAATAATCAAGAAACAAACTCACTGCCATCGAGTCGATGCTGATGCATTACAGCCCCATAGGGCTGGGTAAAACTGCCCCTGTGGGTAACTTTACAGGAGTAGAAAGTTGCATCTTTTCCCTCGGGGAGGCTGGTGGAACTGCTGACCTCGAGTTAAAGAGCCCAACTTGGAGCCCACTGAGCCACCAGGTCCTTCCACAGTCAGTCTGGTATAAACATAGCTGTTCATCACCCTGGACTACCCGCAAGCCTGCGTGACTCACCCTACCTTATTGCAACATGCACTGTCTTGCAAGGATCTGATGCTGAGTCTGC